GACACACAAAGACCCCCAGATCAGCTCTCCCTTAGCCCGGTGTCTGTTATCACACCCCCCTGCCCACAATGCATCATCTGCCCCTAGCAGACTGGCCTCTTGTCTAGATTATGTTCATTCTCCACCTGTGACTTAGCATGTGCTCTTCTCAGCTCTGAGAATGCCTTTCCCTCATCCTTGCTGCTCTACCCTGAGCCCTTCAAAGCCTTTTCTCACTTCTTCCTACACGATCTCTACATCCTTAGAACTCACCGAGCACCTAGAGTGAATAATACACTAGCCTGCATGTACTCGTTGCCCAGCTTTTCCTTCCCATGGTCTTCTCTCCCCAGTTGGATGAGATGAGAAGTGTCTCTAGGGTAGGAGCTGCTTCTCGCCCATCCAGGACTCCCTTCAGGCTGCACACAGCGCAGCTCTGTAAAAATAGGCTTGCGGATCCTAGGAAGGCAAAGGATGCCTGATGCCCTGTACTGCTTCATTAGGCTTGTGCCTGGCCCCCACTTCTAGGCAGCCAGTCTGGAATGTCAGCACTCCTAACCAAGGCCACAAAACTAAAGCCAGTCATGGCTATTTTATTTTCCTTTTAAATTTTCCTTTAAATTTTTTCCTAAGATGTCATTCGTGTTGTAGCAAAAGGAGGTCAAATCATTGGACCATTTCCTCAGATCACTTTTGGGTTTTACGTGTTGTCTGCCTTCCTGTTCCTTTCAAGTAACTGCGGGCTCTGGGTTATTGTTTTTTAGGGATGCCAAGTCCCCACCTAAAAGTGGACCAGACAGCAGCGCTTAGTAAGAATGAGGGCTCGGCATCCACCGTGATGACCAGGAAGAAGCCAGCCACAGTGGACAGTGTTGCAATGCCACCAGCCCCAGTATTATCTCTCCTTGCTGCATCTGCAGCCACGGCGGACACAGGTGAGCACTTTTCAGAGGCTGTGGGTTCACCCCAAGGAAGATGGGTGTGGAGGACCACTGGAAATGTTCTGCTGAGTACAGGTAAGAGTTCTCTGCTGAGCCAACCTCCCAGAGACACCGAGCATATGAGCTGTTTCAGTATTGGGTTTTTCAAGTGAAAAAAGGTCTAAGAAAGGAAGGAGATCACCTGGGAACCTGGAGGGATGTGTACTCTGAAGAGCTTTCCAGTCTGTTCTAATACTGGTCCAGTGAGTAGCAACTAAATAACAATATTAATTATTCTTTATCAAGCCTTTATATATGTTATCAAATGTAACTTGTAAAAGAACTCTGTAAAATCAATACTTGTATCCTCTTTTTCAGAAGAGGAAGTTAAGAATAAAGAAACTTGTCCCAGGAATCTGTGGACAGTCGGGGTTCCAAAGCCCAGGCTCTCAACCAGTGTATTTCACTACCTCCCTTGCTCGTTGGGATTGAAAAACAGTAATTCCTGAATTTCCCTGAGACCTTGATTTATTCTACTCCATGATTTTACAAATTCCTCAATAGTCCCCAGTGTCCTCAACAACAGTCAATAAAATATAAACTCTATTCAGGAATCCCAGGTTCTCTGCAGCCTAGCCCCTTCCACCTCTGCTGCCCACATTATCTCCCACCAGAACCTACGCCAGCCACCAGAGTGCCAAGTTCATCTCTGCTGATGGGAAGACAGGCCTTGAATTCATCTCACCACCTGTGCTCGGGGACAGCTTCACTCAATTTCTATTCACATTCTACAGATCTTCAAGGCCCAGCCAGTCCCAGCTCCTCCAAAGCCAATAGTGTTTGGTGTCTCTATCATGCACTTACCAGTCTCATAGAGTACCTTAAAAAATGTCTATTTAACTTCATCTCCCCCATCACAAAAGTGCATGTACCTCAGAGGCAGAGTGCATGATTGAGATTCTCGCTTCTTTATGGCTGACTTATAGTCAGCAGAATGATGGTACATTCCATAAACATTAGTTGAATCAATATACTGACTGGTAAATGCAGTAAACATATTGCAATATTTAGAAACGCCTATTATGAAAAGAAGGCCAAGAAGAGACTCAGTACTGGTATTCACTCCAAACTCATCTTCTAATTCAGCAGGTTGCTTTGAGCAGAGAACTCAATTTGTCTACACACCTATCTCCTTCACGGGCATCAATGGTACTTAGAAAATGAGCCCAGTTGAAATAACAAAAAGAAATGTTTGTAATGACATTTACCAAGTTGAGTTCAGCAAAATATCAGTAGGTGTTTTGTGATAAAAGACGTTTTCATAATTGAGTGTGGGGATGGCTGCTTTACACCTGCTTCCTTTCCTCAGGGATTTTGAGAGCCTTCGATTGACTAATGTGCAACATGAGGTTCAGGGAGGGAGAGACACAGAATTTCAGTCTCATCTGACCACATAACCCATTTTGGGGGGATTAGCTCTTAACATCTCTTGGAAATGGTGTTCTTGCCAGCCGTTTGGGAAATCCTGCTTTGAAAGAATGGATCATCTCTCAAGTATGATCATGAACCTTCACACCTTTCACACACCCATTGTGAAATGAAAAGTTTTGGTGGAAATGCCAGTGATGAGTATAAGAAGATGTCAAAGGAGGGACAGTCACAGAGGCATGCAGAAGAAGCTACTCCTGAGACGCGATGGATCAATAGCACCTTTGTGAGACGGTGTCCAAGCAGAGGGAGAAGAATGGGCAGAGTCCTGGCAGTGGGACCTGGTGCAATGCCTGGAACTCATTTGCCTGGAGCAAAAGATTTGGGCTGTGGTCTTCACTTCTAATCCAGATAATTGTTTATTCAGCCTTGGAGATTAAACATGGGGACTTCCCTTTATGTTTTCAAGAATTAGCCTGTGTATTTCTGCCTTTCTTGCCAAGCACAGATATTTTCCAGGGGCAAAAGATATGTGGTCCCCCATTTTCCTCCCCTGCTCTCTCTCCATTCAATTTGAGAGAACCTGTTCTTGGGATCACATGCTTATATGGGCTTGCTGCCTCTGGTTGCATCTAGTAATTAATTTACAAATATGCCAAGTGGACGGTAGAAACAGGTGGGTATTAAACTTTTAAACCTGCCTCTCTAGTAATCAGAGCTGAGCCAGAACTCTCTCTTTTCAGGACGCAGGCTGTTTAGTTTTGGCAATACTAATGTGAGACCCTCATGAGAATTTCACAAATTTGGTCCACCTCTGGGTCTCAGGCTGCTGAGCAGAACTTTTGGGGGGAAGCAGGCCAGAGATCTACCCCAGGTGCTGGAATCCAGGCCTTCCTGAGATTTCGCTCCCCACAGATAAACAGCTTCCCACAAACCTAGGAGGTAAGAACACACAGCCTGGGCTTATGTCCAACGCTGTTTCACATGTGAAGAAACTAACATCTCCTGAGATTCAGAGGCTTGTCTGAGGTCATACGATTGGATTGGAACCCAAATTTCTTGATTTACTGCCTTATTTCCAGTGGAATCCCACTTCTGTCATAGGCCCAGCAAGAGAAAAGGCAGATTTTTTTCTTCCTAACTATGGACTCCTACTTCTTTTGGAGAACAGTGAGTGAAATTCATAATTTGAGGGGGTGGATAGTTTTAACCAAAACCACACACATAGTAGATGGCTAATAGTTTCTGGGTTTGATTTTATTTAATTCGGTGCCATGCAATAGTCATATATATTTCTGATGAGACAATTTGCTGGATCTTCATTTTCTTTAGAGAGCCTTTCTTCATATTTCACTGTAAACAAGGTAATTTAGAATTACCACTGGCTGCATACAGAAAGCAACTTATTTTCTAAAAGGTTATCATTTCTACAGAATGGTTCCAGGCAACTGCAGGGGGGAAACAGAAAAGAAGAGTTAAACTAAGTGACTTATAAAACAAAGTTAATTTAAGAAATCACTTATTGAGGTAAGACGCTGAAATAATTCAATTAATTTGAATTTTTTTCATTTAAAAATAATGGATGCTAAAGTATCCAATACAGTTCCTGCCACATAGTAGATGCTCAATAAATAATCACTGAGTAAAATTCATGGTTGAGAGGCAGCAGCTGTTCACTTATCTAGTGCTGAACATGGCAGAAGACATCTGAGAAAAATAAACTCTATCTTGCAACCGCTCAGTAATCAGGTGGAAGACATTTGACAGGCATGTTGTAGGTTGCTAGTAAATACTTGCCTCATAATAATCAGTCTGTAGTTCTAACAGTACTTTTTTCAAATAGGTGATCTTTTTGTAAAAAAAGGAACATTTCCTACCTTATTTTATAAACATTACAATATGGGAGAAATGAATGTGGGTCAAAAGCTTTAAAATGTCTTTTCTAGCTGGAGGGGGGATGTTCATGGGTGAACAAGGAACCCAAATTTTTTGTTTAAGACAATTTTTTTAGCTTCTCAGAGTCTGAGAAGCATGCTGATTATGAAGGTATTGATTTGTAGGAGAGAGCAGTAGAGGAGAAACTGAAGAGGGGGTCAGCTGAGAACTTATCGGTTTGTGAGCTCTGGGAGGGAGGGATGGCAGTGGCGGCCACCAGACTCAAACAGGTCAGCCTTTGTGGTCAAACTGCTCAATAGCTATTGACCAGCTGCAGTCCCCTGGCACAGAAGAGGAGCTCCAATTTAAAGGAGCACTGCTTCGTTATTGCAAGTAATTAGGGCTAATGCAGTAAAAGCTTCAATAAAGTTTGTTCAAAGTGATGCATTGGACTAACTTCTCAGGGAGGTCATGCATGTATACAAAGTTTATGATTTCAGTCCTGAAACCTGTTTTTCCCACCTTGTGTCTAAGATGAGACTATACTAATAAGCAGATTCCAAACTGTGGTAAGAACAGAGAACTAAAAATAGATCTACTTTCTGACCCAGCTATCCCAGTATTCGGTATATACCGAAAGGAAATGAAAATGAAATCAATATATCGAAAAGACACCTGCACTCCCATGTTCATCACAACACTGTTCACAATAGCCAAGAGATGGAATCAATTGAAACGCCTATCAAAAGATGAATGGATTTTTTAAAACTATGGTATATATACACAACGGAGTATTGTTCAGCAATAAAAAGAAACGATATTCTATCATTCGAAGCAACGTGGATGGAACTGGAAACCATCATGTTAAATGAAGTAAGTCAGGCACAGAAAGACAAATACCACATGATATCATTCATGTATGGAATCTAAAAAAAAAAAAAAAAAAGTAGTTCTTATAGAAATAGAGAGTAGAATAATGGTTACCAGAGGACAGAGGACAGGAGGGTGAATCATTACGCAGTGTATGCATGTATTGAAACAACACACCGTACTGCACAAATATGTACAAGTAAATGTTAAAATAAAAATAAATAGATAAATAATAAAACAAAATCTCTATGATTCTGTACCTGAAAGTCTATACTAGGAATGACAGAAAAACAAGTATATCCTTATTTTTCTCGGTCTCTGTTTATCTGTCTCTCTCACACATATATGCATATACACACACCAATATTCTCTCATCTTAAGTCTGAGGAGAAAAAAAAAACATATATCAGGAATGCTATCACCAAATCTTAACTGCTCAAGTTGTAGCTCCTTGAGAGATAACAGAGGGAAGCAGAGTAAGCACAGTTCTTAGTTTTTATCTGTTTTGTATCAAGGCTAATTTATTATTCTCTCAAACTATATAACCTGCCTTGTTTAAAAATACCAAAGCCCATGAGTAAGTGAAAATATTTAAATTTCTCAAGTCTATTAAATTTGTAGGCATTTTCCTTCTAAGGGGAGAGACTGATATTAGCTAAACCATTTAGTTATTAACCATATTATCAGCCCAATCAAAACTGACTATACCTGTAATCAAGATGCAAAGCGTTAAGCTTGAACAATTACCTTCTTTTACAACTAATAGTAGGAATTCTTAATTCTAATGAAATCTGGCATGCTTGTAGCTGGAAGAAAATTATCACAAAAATTGCTCCTAGTTC